GGTCGAAGAAGGGAAATGATATCTAGTGGAAAAGCTTGCTGGTCTCTCGAAGGTGCGAATTACGCAGCGAAGAGTATGAGCCAGCGGTCTAGCAGTGCCATACCCGTGCCGATCGCGGCGCTCGCCGCCCACCCCCTCGCCGTCTGACTTTCGCTGCTCTAGCAGAGAGAGCGTCAGCTTTACTCACTACAAGTTTTGTTGATTTTTCTTCAACCCTGCACCACCGACCACCTCCACCTTGATTTCTAGTCGAATGTGTTTTTTTTTGTCGTAAACTCCGCCTTCACGCCACCAAAACGTTTGAGAATTGCACCCTTACTAATCGTGGATACAATAGCTGGAGGAGAAGTTGTGATAGAGGCTGATAGGACCTCTCTTAACAACCGATTGCATGACGAGAGCACCGCTACTGTCCTAGTCTGTTAATTGAATTAAAAAGCCGCCACATATCAATTGAAAGCATAAATATGGAGTGATATAAGGAATCTTTGTCGCCCATCCCTGCCCCGAAAACTCCGAAGTGATATTTCTAATATAACAAAAACTCGTGCAGAGAAGTCAACCAACTCCTCAAGGATCGAAAGTAGCCCACTATGCTAGAAAATCACTATGGATGGAAGGATCATGCCTTTTATTAAGTCCGACCAACCGGTGCCAAATACCGGCCCAAGCCTTCTGCTATCGTACCAGTATGGACAGGAGGATTGTTACCTGAAATCTCAGTTGGCGGCAAAGGAGAACACAGTTAACACATTGACCATAGCCTGGCGCGCGTGCGCGCGACTTCGCAGTCCCAGGGACACTTTGACGCGCACGCGCGTCACAACCTTGCCGTACACTTTTCCACATGTGCTCCTTCTGATCATTCTTTGTATTTATTCTAAAGACAATGCATTAACACTACTACAAACTATATGGTCCCAGAATGATCGAATATGCTTGCAAGCTTAAATCTCACAGAACTTTCCTAATTTCCCATTTATCGTCATAAGCTTTCATATTAAAGGTTACCATAAAGGTAAATGAAACTCTGTGGATATCAATATAAGTTTTAATGGAATGATGTGACATACTTTAATGATTAGAGTTTTATGGCAATGACAAAACAAAACGGTCATTTGCAGCCGAAGAAGTGATAGATATTACTCGGGTGTACATTCTTTTAATTATCGTGCACTTTGCCAAAATAACAACTTCGACACCGTGAGCGCCGGTCACACCCCCTTAATATGGCCAAAACACGCGGATGTTCATTCAATTCGGATAGGGCCTGCACCAGACGTTGTCCCAACACATACAACACGGGTAGTATTTCACCAGTAGGGGCAACTGCAGACTTTGAGATACGGCGTCAGACAGCATCCAACAAAAAAGTATATAAAAATAAAACATTTGAAAAAATATAAAAAATAAAAATAAAAAAAAACAAGATGAAAATAAAATATATATATACATATATATAAAACAAAACATAAAAAACGCGCGATATCGATTTTCTCCGCGGCCCATCGCGTGGTCAACCTTCTTTAGGGCGCATTGCATAGTCGGTTTCGGGGCCGATTCGTAACGATTCCCAACGTCGCACAGGCATCATTAGATACGCATCGATTGTTGAATACTCAGGCAAGTCCGACGATCGATACGCATCCAACGCATCCCATGCTGTGCGACCGCTACGATCGCTACGATCCGACGACCGACTATGCATGCGCCCTTACATACCACAAGCTCTGACTAAGTAGAGTATGAGGATACGCTCAATTCTAAACTTATCTGTACTGCCAAAATCCTAGTTGACTAATTTAAGATATAAAACTGATAGCTCACGACAGTAATGATAATAATACTGTACCGAACCTCTCTCAAAATAATAGCTTAATCAAGCACAAAACGATCAAAGGGCACACGATCGTCACGACATATATTTTACTTGTAAGATGTTCAGCATTCACTTGATCGACCCACTCAACGATACAGGAACATCGTGATAATTTCTTTAAAAATTACAGCACATTACGTTTAAAGGGCAACAAAATATGAAACTAGAAATAAGTAGAATAAATAGAATTACCACTCCCTAGAAATTTCTTTTCAGAAACAAAACTATTGAACAAAAAACTGACATTTTTGCTAGGACACAATTTCACAATGATCTTCGTCGAGGTATGCAGAGAAAGAAACTTTTAATGAAAACTTGGCAGTTTTACCGCAACAGACAAAGGGAACGAATTGAGGTGTATATTTACAAAACGCGCTCATCCCTACAACTTTCCAAAATAACGGCAGTACATAAAAAGAAATGAAGAAAAAACATGAATTCACGTCTAAATTAATGATTTAGAGATCGAAAATATAGTTGTATAGGTCAAAAACTGATCATACAACAAAACCATCGAAAGCCACGATATAAATTCAGCGGAAAGCGTTCAGATAAGAATTAACGGGCAGTACAGATTTATCGAAAGAATAGAAATTTTTCACAATTATTGTTCAGAAAAAAATACATCTAGGCCGGAATGCAAGAAATCCTTAGGATTCCATCAAACAGCCATTCAGATCAAAATGATATCGAAACTTCACATCAATAATGAGTCCTAATGAAAGCAAAAATCCAGGGCAATACCACAAAGTAAAATTTTAAGCGGATTGAAAAGTGAGCAAAACCGATGTCATAAATTGCATATAGTACAGACGAAAGAAAAACTTGTTAGTCTGCCTCGTTTGGGCCTAACTCGTATAATTTCTGAGTCAGATTGGCCATGTTGGTTGGCGTCATTTTGTCCTGCTGTACAAGTCGAGTGAGCCGTGCGACACAATGTGCTCGTATACGCTTCTTTTTCATTTCCATTCCACAACTTTCAATGAACTTCGTCTAGAAAAAAATAATTGAGGAGTGTTTGAAAATGATGCAAACCCAGTAGAATATAGTGGCCCTTACACCGTAAAGTTTTGCACGCGTTCCAACCCTTTGCTACAGTGAACTTTGCAAAAAAGTTGAAATCGCAGTTTAGAGGCTTTCTTTCTCAAAATTCTCCCTTCCTTCGAACACGAATTTGTACAGAAAAAAAAGCTTACGTAAAATTCCAACGTTAGTTTCTCGCCAACAATTAGATGCCGATACTTGGCGCGAAAACGGTTGTGGAGTAACATGAACTCTTTCTCTTGTGGAGTGTCGTCAATGTAATCACGAATATTCTAAACAATTAAAAAGTAAGCAATTTAAACAATTTTTTTTACAAGTTTTCTAAAACTTTTTTTCCTTAGCAACAAAAGAAACGCATAGATAACCATGACTGACCTATCGAAATAGTCTAAAAACAACCTACCCTCTCCATCAAGTGACCTTTCCAGTCACACGTGTCCTCAATCACCGAATGATAGACTTTGGCGGATGACGGCCCTGGGACTCTAGAATTACAACGAAAAAATTCAAACATGCAAAATGGTGAAAAAATCACTCAACTGAAACAAATGAAGAATTGTTCAAGAAATGATGAGTAAAAATTAGTTTTTCTATAAAGACTGGAAAGAACCAGGTCCATAATTACCTTGAGTATGTTGGAGGTACAAATGACATTTCTCCATACGGAATCAACTGAGCTTTTGGAAGCTCATTCTTTCTCTTGACTGGCACCTCAACAGGTGGTGCATATAGAATCTTCTTCTTTGGAGAAACAACTGCTCTGGAAGAATAGTCGAGGTACTAAACAGAATAAAACAAAGAAAACCAAGTAACAACCAAATGAAACGTTTCAAACAAATAAAAGCTGATAATAGATCTACTATTATTTGATTTCAACTCACACTGATAATTTCTTCGTATGTTCCGGATCCGCTGGTGGTTTTTCCCAATCCGCACGTGAGATGGCACTCGATACAAGAAAATGAATGGTAAAAGGTGTAGACTTCTGGAAAAGACTTATTAAACGAATAACTGCCTTTATAACCCCATGAAACGAAATCGGTGAAACTCACAATAATCTCGAATTTGAACATGGGATATGATACTTGCAGATGCTCCTCAAGTTTCTCAATGGTGTCGAACATCTTATTTGTGAAAGGACAAGCCAGACCAGGAATGCGGTCAAATACACCACTTGGGAGGCTAGCATCTACATCAGACGACGAGCAGTTGATTTCTCTGGGTGTCAACGATTTCACCGGCGACTTCGGTAGACCATTAGCCTTCCGAGGTGAAAGTGCTGGTTCTGGAGACTTCGGTAAAGCATTACACTTCCGTGGCGACAATGTCCTCGTTGGAGATTTAGGCTGATTACAGTCTTGCCGTGGTGTCAACGACTTCACCGCAGATTTCACCAAACCATTGACTTTCCTTGGAGACAACGATTTCATTGATAGTTTTTGTGATAAACGTGGAGTCTTCCGAGAAGGTGAAAGCACGTTATTATTTTCCTTATCAGACGATGGACTTCCGCGTGTAGTTATTCCCATATTTTTCGTGGACTCGGGCACCTCAGGATCCTTGTAGTGATACCTGCGAGAAAGAGCGGTAACAGACCATTAAAAAACAAGCACAATTATGAAGAACATTTAAGAACCATTCTAAAACATGAAACACACCATAGAACAACATCCGAGCTCTTTAACTGTTCAGTTCTTCGCTTGAACCTTGCATCCATGATATTCTCGATTACGCTCCAGTCATACTCGTACATGCTCATCACTCTCTGCAATACCAAATTGATAAGTACCCAATATGCGACCAGACGATCACAACTTTTCTAAACAGTAAAATCTGTAAGTTTCAAAAAAAGGGCAAAAGAGGAGATAATCAACATGAAATTAAATAAAGAAATCGACATAAATAAATAAATAAATAAATAAGAGCATACTGCCACAAATGCCACAACTTCTTGCTCTGCGGCAGATATGTTTTCGCCTCCTACATAGGTAATGGCTCAGTAGCTAGGAAAGTACGAGTTAGCTGGAGAAAGGAAATCAGTCCTCTTTTTCTGCAGCAAACCCGACCGGGGGAGTTACTCGTCGGCTTGCGAAAAATTCCAATGCACCCAACGTCAGACTTTCCGCGATATGGAGCGTTTCTGCTACGAGGAAACGAATTAATCCTTGCGGCAGAGAGTGTGCCATTGTCGGTCGGGTCACGGCAGGGGCGATGGGGTCGCTGCCAGTTCCATTACTCGAATAGCTCTTTGAGGTGATATGTCATTTCACAAACAGAGAGTTTCCTATTTGTCTCAGTACGAGATTGCATAAGAGAACCAGAACGATCAAGCAACACATTTGTATTGCATACATCTCATAACAAGATATTAATCATTCAAAACACTAGGCATGAGATACTATCAGGGGTATCGATCGGAGGGGCGTGGCGGCTATTAATCGCTCCCTGCTCCCACGAGCGATAATCGCACTCATCACTTGAGCAAAATCGCTCCAGTCGCAAAGTTTGACATCAGCCATTACTATTGCGGGGACGAAGTACTACACTGCCCCCCCCCCCCTCCAAACGATAACTCGAGTTATACAGGGTGGGTCAAAACTTAATGAGGAACCGTGGTGCGCACGCGTTGTGAAATCTACTTTTTTCGAGGTCGCCCTTTTTATATTTCCTTTTATAGTGCACTTTTTGCGCAAGGGGTTACAATGTCTTTTTGCTTTTTAAAACAAATATGTTCAGGTTCCCAAATCCGCGTTGGTATAACTACTACACCTTGTTTCAATCCTCAAATATAGACTTGACGTTCCTCGGGGCTCCTGGCACGTTACATCTAGCGGCAGTCCAACGTATCAGGGAAGCTCTTATGGGCAACAGTTCAACTCTTCAATAAGTTTGGAACCACCACAGATGGAAAATTCGGAGACTCGAAAGTTACAGTTACCACCAGGACAATTATCAGATGCAGAAACTAGGTCTCCCCTTGTCGACTTTCGTACTCCCAAAATGAAAAAATCGATGTGAAAACCCAGCCAGACACTCTAAAGACTCCACATCTGTAGTGGATGGGAAACTTTACTTGAGACTTTTTACAGGACCGAGCACCCAAGAATAAAGCAAAAATCCTCCAAAAAGCGATTTTTTGAGTTCGTTGCTTTCGAAGAATTGTTACAATGGAACCTTCCACCTAATAGCTCTAGAATTTCTGTATTTGACACCCTAGAGACAAGCGCAAATAAATGCCCCACGAAAACGTTGATCCTCTGAAGAAAGCAGAGCAGAAGGCCTGGAAACATTTTGACACGCCTTAGTTGCGTGTCACCGCACGCGCCATCCCCTTCATCTGAAGGCTCGTGTAAACGCGGCAGGTGGCAGATCCAATTCTATTCTGGATTTACTTTGAGATAAGAGTTACAAACGTTTTCCCTGAAGTTTGTTTGTTCCATCAAGCTACTATGCGTTTTTAACGACAGTGTCTTGGTCCTCATAATTTTGGCCCACCCTGTTTGTGATGACATGCCATGGCGATGTATGCCCTGCCCTATTTCTTCACGCTCGGTGAGCTTAATGGCATTCGATAGAGTCTGATATTTGTCATGGTTCAAGTGATGCCATCATGAACCCTTTGTAAGTCCATATGAAAAGAGTAATATGGCATAAGTTCACAGTCCAGTTTAGTTTAGAAAAGTGGAGTCTTGAGGCAGCTGTGCACTGACTATTCGAAAATCTTGCTACCAAAGCGAAACAAAAGTAGAAAAGAGAAACAGGCCAAAAACACTACTATTAGGGCTATTTAAGACACAACTAAAGACGGTCGCGGTTTTGGTAGCTAGAAAAGTGAGGCTTGCTTTAAACTATCACAGTAAATTAGAAGCAATCAAAAACACGAACATTTCCTACTCTGGCGAACTGCTCGAGATTTGCGAAATTTGACATCCACTTCTCCTCTGTAATCTTGAATGAAATTCCATCAACCTGATCCGTGTCACTGTTGCTGAAACATCGGAATCTCTCCATATTTCCATGTTCTCAAAAGTGAAAATTAGGTTCAGCTATTAATACTCACATGAGAACGACTGTATGATTTCCGAACGCCGGACTGATAGATCCATTCACACCGAAAGCGACCTTTCGCACGCCATAGAGAATGCGCTGAAAAAAATGTCCTCTGCGATCACTGACACTTCTTGGTATTGCGGGAACGCGGCAAACATTGAAATGGCATCGCGTTGTGATCCTACACAAAGCAGCGGCGAATTGCTCAAAAACCGCTCACGTTCCACGTTTGCCAAGTTACTCTCAAAGTACAATTGCCTGCTCAATGGTGTTTTCATTGTCTTTTGAGCCGGAATGTCCCGGCACTTAATTCCACATTGTTACACGCCATTTTGCAGTGATCAAAGCTGACTAACCTTCACAACAGGGGAATCTTTTTCTTCGCTTTCTTGCTCTCCTCTTGATCTTCCTAGTCTGCGGGCTGAAAAAAAAACGTATCGAAATATGAGCTGGGTTCAACAATATGGTCAAAGCCCAAATGAATATGTCGCTTACCCGAACCTATATAGTGATACTTCTGCTCAATGTGGACCTTCACCACAAGGAAAATAGTCCTGAAAGCGGAGTACTACACTATGAAATCATAGATTAATTTGGATTTTCAGATTCCACTTTATTGGACGTTATTCACTTCCACTTTTAAGGAAGAACACTTCATCTCCGACAAACCGTTAACATCCAATTAAATCTATAGTGTTCATTTTCAAAAAGGGCGATTGTACTGTGCACATGTAATGTAACGCTTCGTTCTTTATTCTTTGAGTAAGATTTGGGCGTCATAACGGCAATCGATGAAATTGAGCCGTGTACAGGGTGCTGACCAGGGTCAACCGTCCGTTCGAACTGTTCGAACGAAGGGGTCGCATTTTGGTCGGAAGGGGGTCGCAATTTCGAGGACTGCCAGCCACAGGCGCGTGCGTGGCGTATCCGAGGGCAAGTATTGCGTTAATGTATGCTATACGAT